TGGCTGAAGAACTTCAAATACGAAAGTTGAAATCTTTCCGGTAAATAATGTCGCTTAAATCATGAAAATACCGAATATAGTGAGGTACCGTTATATGGGAGCTATACGAAAACGTAGACTGACATGGCCCATTTACGAACATAACCTGCCTGCTGGTAAACTAAGCATATATGCAAAATGTTAGACTTCTATCTCAATTAGTTCAAAAGATTACAACAGAAAGACAGACGGACATCCCAAGACCGTCTTAGAATTTTACGCTGATCCAGAATATATATACTTTGAGTTACATACGGAATGACAAAGCTAATATAACCTCCATAGAATAGTGGAGAGTATAAAAAACGGTATAAACAATATTAACAAACTGGATCGAACTATTTATAACCTCAAATCCGCGAAAAATGTTTATTATATCTAAATCCCTTGAACGGTGTGATCAACACGTCAAATGACTTTAAATATACGGTTAAGGCTTCGTTGGCAATATCATGGCTGCGGAGTTGAGCCATTTTTTATCAGACACCGATCCGGTATTCATCTCACGCTCGACTCCGAAATCACTTTTAATTTATACTACGAAAAACTGTTATTTTATCTGTTAAAATTATTCCAGTGACAGCTCATTATACTGTTTGCAAGCGTACAAAAGCATTTTGGTGAAGGTGATTTTCCAGAAAAAAGTTATTCGTGATGGAATTCAAGCGTGATAGTGTGATTTCTTTATATTTGGCTGGAAAACCACAAGTGGCTGTCGTTAGAGCACTCCAGCACTTAAATGTGAATAAATCTTTTGTGTCTCGTGAGCTGAACATATCGCAATATTCCATTTGGCATATATAGAAAAATGAGCACGAGGTAAAGAAACAGAAAGAAAATAGACTCAAAAGAACTAAAGAGTTGCTTCGCTTGACTGAAAGTGGTGAACTGCCGAATTTGGTTTTCTCCGATGAGAAAACATTCGTTGTCCAGCAGTTTGTAAACAAACAAAATGATCGTGTTTACTTGCCAAAGAGGTCAGCTGAAAATTTGCACCTTTGGTTGACCACCAGAACTCAAGCCCCGGCCGCAGACCTTGGACATTCCAATAGGACTCAGCACCATCGCAATCTGCACGCACCACCCAAGAATGGTTACAAAATGATGTTCCTCGCTTCATTTCCAGCGCACAATGTCCACCAAAATCTCCGAATCCGTTGGACTATTGTGTCCGGAGTATTTTGCAAAGCAAAGTGTCGATCACCTCAAGCAAACCCTTTGCCGGGAATGGGCCAAAGTACCGCAGAGCAACAGTCGGGCAGCGTGTGACGGTTTCATTGACCGTTTGAAGACCATAATTCGTGCCAAAGGTGACTAATTCGAACAAATCTAAACCTATTTTAAAATTTGATGCTATTTCCGACATTGTTTGCTTTCGTTGACTTTGTTGCAGTTTTTTATCTCACCCTGTATTGACTTAGTCATCTGTACAGAGCCCTTTAGTCTTGTTAGCCCGAAAAATTGCCTAAAATAAGACCTTCGACATAAAAAATGGGTTAGATTGGGTTCCACTAATAGACGAACTATTTTTAATGTTAATTAATATTCAAATGTTTATGATTTAAAACACTGGCTACTAAAAGCCTGAAATGTCTACACCTCTCCGAAACATTAAGAATACTAAACGAACGATTTATCTTGATTTCAATACTCATTGCCATACTAAACAACACAAATGTTTAATTCGAATTTCAAAGTTCACTACTGTATCCTTTTTATAGATTAAAAAATAAAGATCAGTTTAAATCAGAATTTTATGTTGATCGGGAATGCTTTATTGGGACTCTGAGGAATAACGTACTAATTTTCATTTGCAAATAATTACTACACCTTCTTCAAAAATAGATAATCCACTAAAAGCATTGCATACATATTACGAATAAATGGGAAAACTTGAATGAAGGAAACTAAGGAATAACCAATATTCATACCTAACTCCGACTTCCGATAACATTGGATATTTTTGCAAAGGAGTTTTTACACATTGCGAACAGAAAATGGAAAATGGAACAAGTTTCCTTCAGCAAGACTAGGAACAAAATGTCTGAATAATTTTGTGATTGTAGGTGTTTTTAAAAAAGAAATTTTTTTGCCATTCAGTTTAATAGCAATTTGTGTTTAATAGCAATTTGTTCGTTAAAGCTAAGGAAGTGATCAGGAAAATTTGATGTTAGTTTTGAGCAATTAATTCAACTACATGTATTTCATTTTTAAGATTTCTTACGATAGCCTTCCTCATCGACTGCTCAAAAATTCTAACCAAAACCATTTTGACATGGCCCTGATTTAGAGGCACATCTGGGATCGAATAAATTATCAAGAACAACTTAATCCAACGATATAATTTTTATATGTGTACTTCCCGAGATATGATTTGCGAGTGATAATTAGCGCTTCGTTGTATTGATACTTGTTACTTTTTCGCCTCTGCCTTGCTTAACTGTTCTTCAGCTTGGTAGGTGGGTTGAGTCTGGGGGTCTAAATATTGTCATTATTATTTTTTTTAGCTACAGCATTATATTTCATGCTAGAACATGTATTCATATTTTACGACCAATTATCATTATATTTTATGACCAATTTATTCATTATTTTAAATATTTCCAAATAACGACCAACTGGTTTATTTATACACATTTCCTAAACCACCTCCATATATCAATTTCAGATACCAACAGAGAATCGAAGACCAAATTTGTGGTTTCCAACCCTAATCCTTCAACAAATATCAAATTTAGTACCTTTTTGTACATTTCATACCAGCAATATGTTCTATTTCCAAAACCTCTCCCTATCTTAACCACAGATACCAGCAGTGACAATTTCAGGATTTCAGCTCTATTTCCTCACCAATGCCAAATTTAGTTACATATAATACTATTCGTACAAATACGGGTACGCCATAATTTTTACATTTTTTTTAATATTATTGAATGGAAGCAAAAAATGTCGAAAATAGCATCACATTTTAGAATAAGTTTAAATTTGTTCGAATTGGTCACCTTTGGCACGAATTATGACCTTCAAACGGCCAATGAAACCGTCACACGCTGCCCGAATGTTGCTTTACGGTATTTTGGCCCATTCCCAGCGAAGCGCTTACTTGAGGTGATCGACACTTTGGTATTTTTTGTGCCAACCTGGTATCCGGAGACTTTGGTGGCCATTGTGCGCTGGAAATGAAACGAGTAACCTCATTTTGTAACTATTCTTGGGTGGCGCGTGCTGAGTCCTGTTGGAATGTCCAAGGTCTGCGGCCAAATTGTTTACGTGCCCAAGGCTTTTATACACTCTCCAGAATATTTTCCCGATAACATTCGGCATTCATTCTAATGCCACAGTCCATTGATACGAGCGGAGAGCGACACCCACACCATCACCATGGCCGGCGTTTGAGTTCTGATGGCCAACCGAAGGTGCACATTTTCAGCTGACCTCTTTGGCAAGTATACACGACCATTTTGTTTGTTTACAAACTGTTGGGCAACGAATGTTTTCTCATAGGATAAACCCGAATTCGGCAGTTCACCACTTTCGGCCAAGCGAAGCAACTCTTTAGCTCAGTTGAGTCCAATTTTCTTTCTGTTGCGTTTGAAGTTCTAGAACTTTTTGGAATATCAATGGCTTTACCCCGAGCTCATTTGTCAAGATTTGCCGAATGGAATATTGCGATATGTTCGGCTCACGAGCCATTTTTCGGCCACTGCGACGCGGGTTTCAATCAAGTCGCTTCTTTATTTTTCGAACCATTTCTGCTGATGTTGCTGTTTTCTTCCGTACACTTCCTCGACGTCGTGCTACGCTACCAGTATCACGGTAACGAGCGATTATATGAGACACAAAAGATTTATTCACATTAAAATGCTGGAGTGCTCTAACGATAGCCACTTGTGGTTTTCCAGCCAAATATAAAGAAATCACACTATCACTCTTGAATTCCAAATTTAGTACCTTTTAGTACTTTTCATACAAATATAAAACATATTTCCAAAATCTCTCCATATCATACATAATTCAGGATTTCAGCTCTATTTCCTTACCCAATACCAAATGTATTACTTATTAGTACTTTTCGAACATTTCCGAAACCTCCTCCATATGTCCGTGTTACACAAAGACAGCGACACTAATACCAAAGATTTCAAGAACATTATGTTCACCCAACAGCAAATGTAGCGCTTTTCGTGTAGTACATATTTTTAACACTACCGCTTTATCACAGACCTTCCACCAACAGCCCAATACAAATTTTCAAAACTCCAATTTCAACCGTTCACCCTAAACCAAACTGTCCCAAATGTTCCATTTAGCACTGTTTGCACAGTTAGTACACATTTTCAAAACCACATTAATATATCAAACTTATTTTCCATCCTTGATTCTCACACCAAATTTCAAGTTTTTAGATCTATCCGTTTACGTAATACCAAATGATACCATTTAAAAAGTTTAATTTCATTTTAAAACATTTCTTAACTTTAAAGATCGAATTTCTAAAAACTCTTTGGTACACCTATCCTGGACTTCATCAGTGACTCTCATTCCAAATTTCATTCTAGCTCACTCCGTTTGTCCAATACAAAGTATTCAAATTTTAGTACTTTTAGTATGCATTTTCAAAGACCCAGACACATTACACGACTACAAACTAAGACTGACACTCAAGATTCTAGCTAGAGTAGTTTCGTTCGGGCGTTACAGATAACAGATAACATTTCCCAGACAAAATTGATATTGTTATTGGTATAACATATATAAAAAATGTCTATGCATTTTTATAATAGTACACACATTGTATACATTTCATGTAACAAATGAATCACAATTGCAAAACGTTATTCGATGAATTCAATTATGATCACGTACTTGGACATCTTGTTCATATTTAGATAAACTGAGTGCAGATTAAAAGTAATCCCATACTACAAGGCCTTTTTGAAATGTAAAAATGCATTACTCACCGTATACACCTTCAAACATTCCAGTTGTATCCATTCGCGTGGTCACAATTATGAATTTTTCATTACGATCAACTTGAGCTGCTCTCTTATCGTCCTCTTCTTGGACATCGACAATTTTTCGCGGAAATAGAGTAGCATAGATATTTTTACCCTCCAGCGGATCACAGTATCTTGTTTGTGCCAAATTATTTATGTAATTTGAACGTCTCCAACAAACTTCCGTGCTGACAGCAGCACTCATAAAACTTTTAATTTCCACTGCACAGAGGCTACGCAAATGTTGATTTTCATAATCGAAGCTGTTAAATCTCTTAAAGCATTCTATGAGTCTGACAACTGTTTCATTATCCGGTATAATTATGATGGGAAAAGGAAAATCTTCATGCAACAACCCAGAACCCCATGGATTCCAGGTGTCTTCGGGACGCATTGCGGAACAGGTGGATGTCTCCACACTATTGGGCTTCAAAATGCCACTAAATTGATTTGGACACTTCAGTTCATGTGAGAAACTCACGGTGTCTCCGGTATAGTTATTGAAGGCATTCAAAACAATGACTGCAGTTATGTTACGGCCACCTTCATTTTTGAGCCGCATCATGTTTGGGCGTGTAAAGAAATCAGATTTTAAAATGGCAGCATACGGTGGAGCAGGTGGTGAGTTCAAAAGGAATTCCAGTTGATTATTATCGTCAACATAGTGCAGAGCTCCCACTGAGCCAGATTCAGCAGCTGTAGACAAAGGAAATTAATGGTAAAATAATTTTCTTTTTTACATGGCAAATTTCATTTTCTACTTACAGGAACATCCAGTTTGGTGGGTACCGTTAAGACGTCGGAAACAAGAGCCTCCAAAGAATGACTCGTAGATCTTCTCATGAAGACGTTTGCCGCAAACTTTACGTGCCAAGAAAAAAAAAAACAACAAATGAAAATGATTAAAAAGGTCAGTAAATGGTACAAGTAAACAAAGCCAAGACTTGGAAATGAGTCACTCGTGCAGTTTGGTTATGAAAAGAAAGTTTGACCAGAGATTTTGAGATTTGTTTTTAATCTGCCTTGCCAAATATCGGGTAGCCTACATCTCCATGGGAAACCTCCTATACTACGCCAATGCACAATCTTCAATCCATCTATCCACCCACCTGCACTTGTTGAGAGCAATGCCAGCAAAACGCATACGAATAAAACGTATTTTACAACCTGAGTCCCATGTAGCTCCATGGCTACGTCTTCAGTATAGCTTTTGTAGCTTCTTTATAATTGTTCTTAATAATTTTATACGAAAACAAATCCGCAAAAATAACTAAAAATTCATTCAAACAACAACAATATGATAAGAAGACAAGAATAACACAGCAAAGCAAATTTGAAGATGAAGAAGAAGCGGCATTTCACAGTAAATTGATAACAAACTAAATGGATGGAAAGAAGAAGAAGAATACATATACAATATACATATACAAGGTGACGCAAATGTAAAAGTAGGAGAATTACTTTTGCGGCACCTTTTATACTATTGCTGACTACACAATTAAAATAAAAAAAAAAAAGAAGAATTAACAACGTTGAAATATGTTATTGTTGCCAGATTCTGAAATATTCGACCTAGGATTAGTTATATATTATTCTCACGTCGAACTTTCTCCATTCCTCATTTTAAAATATTTTTTCCGGCTGAAATCAACGCCGTTTTTTACTAGCAAGGCTAATCCTGTTTATTCGTAAGGTTTGGAAAGAAAAGGATCCGGTAATTTCGACAGCGCAAACAACCGTCATAATGCCAAAAATAGCTTTAACTTGTGAGACTGAATTTCTCTTTGTTCAGGGTTAAAAATCTGAAGCCCAAATCGGCCGTCGGCTATTTAGATCGAAAGGAAATCGAAACCGTATTCGAATAAATTTCATCGTGGTTTTCAATTCTATTTCGCCATTATGATCATAACAAGACCAACAACGAGCCAAGTAGGTTGTTTGGAAGTGTAAATGTATTTCGGTAAATCGAAAAATATAAAAACTCATTCTCCAAACGACTCCTATTAGTGTAATTGTTGCTATTATCAGGACAATTTAGTCGCTAATATATATTCAGAAAGTTATCTCGGCCACAAGATAAGCTACATATTTTAAACTGTGAACTAAACCCGGCCATCCACTTCCCAATTGATATTCGATGCTATAAGTCCCGACATCAATAAATTAATTTGCTCCAACATGGATGGCATTATCATTTTAATTATACATATCAGCAAGGATTTATTCCATTCCAATTCGAGATATTTTATCCCAATACATTTGTAGATACATGATAATTTAAAATTCCCCTTTAGACTTCGTCGTGTAAACCATTCAAATATATCAACATACGAATTAATTTATTTTATCTTAACTTACTTTATTTTTTCTTTTACATAAAAAATACAAAACTAATTAAGCAGTAATTTCTTCTAAAACAAAGTATCTTCTGCGCGAATATATTCACCAATATCCGACTGATGGAAACACACCGTTGTCAAGGGATCAGCCGTTTTGCAATCCATTGTCGATCTGGCCAGCACTCCAAAACCCAATGGCAAATCATTCATATTATAAACTATAACACCTTGATATTGACCGGCATTTTCGGTAATACGTCCCAATCCCGACTTTGGTATGTGATTGCCATAGAGAAATTGTTGTTCAAACGATTGTTTTACCCACACTTTGTACTGGGCATAGGGTGCCAAATAATATAAGGCCGTAATGTGGAATTTCAGCTTGTTCGTTTTGGAGAATTTTCCAAAGCATGTACCGACAGAGATGAGTTTTTTATGACCAAAACATTCGGAAAGTTTCAATATTTTCTCCGAAACATAGTAGACACGATCCAAATGTTCACGGAAACAATATGTGCCATCGGGACGATCAATCAACTGTTTGACATTGGTGCCAATGCTGTGGAAGGAACGTATAAAAAACACGATGAGTTGACTTGAAGAAAAACAACAATAGATTTTACTTACTATTTTGATAGCTTTTCAAATAGAATTTTTGCTCTTTCGTCGCTTAAACGCTTCATTGTATTGTTGTTTTAGAAATTTAGGCACAATATGTGCAATATTGGTGGGATTTAATTTATTTTTTCAATAAATTTCAAGTGAAATAAAAAAACGCGTTCGACCAAAAGGCAACAAATGAATTAAATGTCAAGATTGTTTTTATTTTTGACAGCCACGTGCAGTAGGGTTCGGTAAGTCTAACTTTGAATTATCGATTAATGTTATTTATCGATAAATCGGTTAGCTGCTTAACAGTTGTAATTTGAAAATTATGGCGTATAGGGTTTATAGTTGGCACATTAGAGTTTTTATAAATAAAAACTCTGTTAAAGGCCAAAGGCAAGAGGTGTATTCATGCTAGAATCAAATACTTTGTTGTAGAACCTGCAAGAATCTAAAAATGTAACTATTGCCCTATTCCAGAACTGTTAACATTATTATTAAAGTAACCGATTTTTCCTCAATGATATCGAAAAAATTTGCAAAACTGGTAGAATCATACATGGTGTGTTCCAGAACTGTGAGAATGTAAAAGTTTTCACTACAATAACCGATTTTCCCTTTATGATATTGAAGAAAATTGCAAACCTAGTAGATTCTTGCAGGCACTGGAACAGAGCATGTTCCTCTGTTTAGTTTCTGCTCAGTTTTTGAAATAAAAATATTTTTCGGTTGGAACTTGGGGCCAAAACCTTCAAGTAGCTGGCGCAATATGGGGTCTATATCTAAAAGTTTACCTATATATTTTGCGAGGAGTAAACCCAACAAAAGGGAATCTGAATTTTGATTTGATTGGAAACTAGAGGGTGCAGATGCCTCAAAAATACTGAAAATCAGACAAAAATCGTCTAATCCAAAGCCATATATTAAATTTTTAATACAAAACATCAATATAAATTGGTCAGTTCCAGAACTGCAGGAATGTAAAAATTTTAACTACGTTAATCTGATTTTCCCTTCATGATACCGAAGAAAATTGCAAAACTAGTAGATTCTGGCAGGTTTTGAAAATCAGAAGACACCGTTTTTTCTTATGACAAAAATCCAACCCCAAGTAGTTGTCCTCGGACAAAAACTAATGGAATTGTTGAAGATAGGTGGCTTTCTGTAACTACGGTCTTCATAGTGAGGTTGAAAAGCAAAAAATTTGAAAAGCAGAAAGTTTTAGGACAGGTTTCGCCATGGAGATGGGCGATCTTGCTCTCTTCTCGGAGATTATAGGCCAGATTATCTTAGGAACATTTCATCCCCTTTCATCTAAAAATTTTTGTTGAAATCTCCCGGTGTAGAGTTCGTGTGTCTCACTTAACAAGTGGCACATGGGTGGTATAACCGAGTTCTGTACTTCGATCTCAGCTACCTTATTACCTAGAATATTGTAATGGTCTGAAACATAGCTTGGGACATCCCGTGGGACATCCCAGCATTCCTTTTCGCTCCAAAACTGTCATATATTTAATGGTATGGCGCAGTCAATCTTTCGGATACTCTGGGATCTTAAGTTATGTGAAATAAATTGGAGAAGAAATCAATACTATATATATCACCACGGTTACACTTCGAACCACTTGACAGGGACGTGCTGACCCGCAACTAGGCCTCTCTTTGCACGTTCCACAATATTTTTCCAGTTTCCAGTTTTAAATGGTGATCGAAAGTACCTAGGTATTTGAAAGAGGAGAGGGTTAATGTGACTCCATCTAACATTGCTGGTGAGAGTACAGGACGATTCCTGGCCCCCTTGAAGAGGAGGAGCTTTGTTCTTGATGGTTTTACGTCCACTTTGATAGTTTAACGATGGTCTTCCCAGTTATCTCCATTAATTAATAAATTTTGTTTTTACAGTGTGTGATAAAAAACTGCAACAAAGTCAAACGCCATTTTTTTTTGCTCTGCGGTATTGTGGCCCATTCCCGGCGAAGCGCTTGCTTGAGGGGATCTTATTTGCTACGTCCGAAGGATGGCTGTGAAATTCAGATACAAATTTTGAGTCTTTTTGTATGTCCCGGGGTAAACAACAAAAAAGAGAAATGCGACAAAATCAAACAACTTCAAAGGAATTAGGTTGTACGTTTAGAGGTAAATTCCCCAGGTGGGAGGAGCCTATGTAGGCCCAATAAATTATTTTGATTATCAAAATTAAGTGTAAAATGTGTAGTTTATAAAACTTTGAATTTCCAAACAGCTTTTAAAACAAATTATTTTTTTATTATTAAAATTTCTATTTATTTTATTGTTCTATTTCGTTTATTTTTTGTTTTCTTTGCTCGTTTAAAGACTACCTTTAAAAAGATTAACTTATTGTCTTTTTTAGCTTTTCACGTTCATCAGTACAACTAATAATACTAACTAGGATCTTAAAAACTATACAAATTTATACTCTTTATTATATACATTATAAAATTAATACTATATATGTTTTTATAGGTCAAAATCAAACAGAAATTCTTATTAAGTCATATTTTCTATGTAAATTAACACACAAAAAAGACACTGAAAAAAACTCATTTTTCAAAATATCACTAAAATAGCTTCTTGGACAGAATGAATTGTCAACGGTGTATAAATAAAGCCGGACAATAACAATCATACATACAAATATTATTATTATTATTATTATGTAAATTATAATTATGTTGTTGTAACCTGAGTCACTAATCACTAATACAAACAATACAATTCGTAACAACAATTTGTTGATTGGTGTACAAAAAGAAGAAAAACAAAACGTTCTACAAGAAATCCTGGCTGGGATAATTGTTTTCTAATAGACATTTTTTTGAAATGTATACATCACAAGTTTTCAGGGAGATTGAAGATTATTTTAACTAATTCAAAAAAGGTGGCCTTAGGGGAGAAAATTATAACCTGTTTGGGTTTTTTGGGGAAAATTCATTTCTTTTGTTTCACTTAATCTAGTGTTTAACACTACAGCCTTAAAAACTATTATCACTTAAACTCCCACCGTTTGCAGTTTATCCTGAGAGTAGTCTCTTTCCTTGAGCAGTTCATCCAATTGTTGTTCCTGATAGTAGACAACAAATTCCGTGGGCGATAAACTTTCAAATAGGGCACAAATACTTGGCTTTAAGTTATAAAAGAATATTAATTGACGTCTTGAGGCAAAATCTCGCAGAAGAGATTCAATGACGGTGGCTGCTGTAAAATCAGCACCATAAATATGTGAGGCATCTATGACAACGGGCACATTGTTGCGCAGAGATTGTTTATTCACCAAATTCCGTACATAGTCGACGGAGGGGAAAATGATACAACGATCAGGGGTGATCATAAGATATTCTGTGCCACCGGGAGTTGTTAGGATTTCCGTTGAGAGCTTGGGCCGAGCAGCACTGTAGAGTATGAATATGACATTTAGACCGACGCCAATTAGAATGCCCATTTCCAGGGGTAAAACTAGGCAGGCAATAAAGGTCACCAAACCGGGCAGCAAATCGCTTTCTAGGGATGGGGAGAAAGTAATGTAGTGATTAATAAAATGGAATTTCGATTAAAAAGAGAAAATTTTAACTTACTTTTTGCCCTCCACATGGGTTTGACAACCTTAACCTCCACCATAAATACCACAGCTGCAATGATAATGGCAGCCAATGTGGCATTGGGAATGTAATAGAAATATGGTGTGAAAAAGATCAAGGAAATTATGACCAAAGCCCCAGAATAGATATTGCTTAGAGGAGTTCTCACACCACTGGCATTGTTGACAGCACCGCGACTTAAGGCTCCTGTGCCAGGGAAACCTTGGACAAACGAATTGGCAATATTGGCAGCACCTATGGCAATCAACTCCTGGGAGGCATCAACAGGTTTGCCGTTGGCTGTAATTAAAAAAAAAAACAAATGCTAATTATTTTCAAATTTCTTTCAATATTCCCAGTATCTGAAGCTTACCGAAAGCCTTGCATATGGCAATGTTTTCCATGAGCGATATCAGTGGTATCACAATTAATCCCGAGCCCATGCTACGCATCATATCAACGAAAGTTTCTTCTTTTCCTGTCAATGTTTCGTTTACACTTAAGTGGGTAGGTGGCAAAGCGAAACTGGGCAATCCTTGTGGTATATAGCCAATCACTTTGAATGGGGTACCCTCGTGATAGGAGTGCAGAAGAACACCCATAATACAACATAATATAACCAAAATGGCATTACGTGACGTTCCCACAATCCAAATGATTTTGTTTATGACATTCTGGGTCTTCGAGCGTAAATGGGGTTCTTTGGGGCCAATTTTACAGGATGGCAACAGCTGGAAGTAAGGATAATAATTAATTAAATAAATGTAGATCAAATATATGTGGAGTATTAAAACTACAGGGTGAGATTAAAAAACTGCAATCAATTTCAGACTGTTGACATTTCTAAGCCACTCGTCCGACAGGTGTTAAAATTATTCCAGTGACAGCTCATTATATTGTCTACAAGCGTACAAAAGCATTTTGGTGGGAATTTTCCTGAAAAAAAAGTTATTCGTGATGGAATCCAAGCGTGATAGTGCGATTTCTTTATAATTGGCTGGAGAACTATAAGTGGCTATCGTTAGAGCACTCCAGCATTTAAATGTGAATAAATCTTTTGTGTCTCGTTGCCCGACCGAAGAAAACAGCAACATCAGCGGAAATGGTTCGAAAAGTAAAGAAGCGACGTGAGCGACACCCCCGTCACAGTGGCCGAAAAATGGCTCGTGAGCTGAACATATCGCAATATTCCATTCGGCAAATATTGAAAAATGAGCTCGGGGGAAAGCCATTGAAATTTCAAAAAGTACAAGAACTTATACCGCAACAGAAAGAAAGTAGACTCAAAGTAGCTAAAATGTTGCTTCGCTTGGCCGAAGGTGGTGAACTGCCGAATTTGGTTTTCTCTCTCTCCGATGAGAAAACATTCGTTGTCCAGCAGTTTGTAAACTAAAAAATATCAAAGTGTCGATCACGTCAAGCAAGCGCTTCGCTGGGAATGGGCCAAAATACCGCAGAGCAATAGTCGGGCAGCGTGTGACGGTTTCATTGGCCGTTTGGAAGCCATAATTCGTGCCAAAGGTGACCAATTCGAACAAATCTAAACTTATTCTAAAATTTGATGCCATTTCCGACATTTTTTGCTTTCTTTCAATAAAATTAAAAAAAATGTAAAAATTATGGCGTTTGACTTTGTTGCAGTTTTTTTTTATCTCTCCCTCTATGTTATATAAATATTTCTACTCACCCTCATGATCAGCAGGACGACAATGCATGTTATGCCCAAAATCGTATCCGATGCCCTGATATCTTTGATATTGTGTATTATTTCTGTCCATATTTCGACAAATGTTGTCCCCTTGGCTGATATGCCCAAAATATTTTTAACTTGCGATGTTAAAATGATAAGCGATACAGCCGATGTGAAACCCGACGAAACGGGGCCAGAGACAAAATCTATTAGAAATCCAAGACCAAATAGACCCATTAGCATTTCAACAATGCCACACATTAAGCAGAGTAGGACAGATTTTTGCCATGAACCATGGGCAACTTGGAATGTCAGAAGGGCAACAATGGCCGAGGGGCCAACGGGAACATCTTTACAACTGCCCAGGAAGATGTAGACAAAACAACCCAAAAAGGAACCATAGAGACCGTACTGCAAATACAAAATGAAAATAATATTAGATTTTATATTTAAATTGAATTTAATGCAAATTAGAATACAATGAAAAAGGGGGATTCCTGTTCCACTGTCTTCTTCTTTGTTAAGGTAATTAATTTTTTTCATTGGAAACTTACCGCTGCTGGTAAACCGGCTATGCCCGAGTAGGCCAAGGCCTGTGGTATAACAGTTAAGCCAACTGTTATGCCAGCCACTAAATCACCAACCGCATCCTCGCTATTATATTTGGGTAGCCACCTTAAGATGGGTATTCGCTTGTGCAGATTTTTCTTTTTGAATGTTTTTCGCGTTTTCTCTTGGAGCCAAGATTTGGCACATGACATTGGTTTGGTGGGAGGTATGATCTTTTTGCCATCATCCGTCACTGCAAGAAATTAAAAAAAAATTACATTTTATTAATAAAAAATAGGCAAAATTAACAAAAATTAACAAAAATACCATTGGTTTGCACACAGCAATTCATCATTTTAAAATTGTCCGTAACACATAAAAAAATATTTTCAAAATTCTTCTAAGAGGACCCACTGGCTGTCCTCTCCTTTATGTTTCGCTGTTAATTCTTAACTGAAGACCTTTTTTTTTCTAAATACCATTTTAAGAACTTGTTAATGGCCCAGAAGAGGAGAGCAGCATATGAAACACAGATGTGCTGCTGACACAACAGGTACCGGACGCGACCAACCGACCGAGAGGAAAAATACCAAAAACTACAATAGAATACAAATCTTGTGTTTCAAAATTGGTTGGTCGGTCGGTGCACTCAAAATTAATTTTATACTTTCACGAAAACGATTTCATCTTCAAGTCATTTAAAGAAAACTCAAAATGGAAGTGCCTAGCAAGCAGGTACTAGAAATCTTTTCAGTTCTTTTTAAAAAAGAGATTAAAGCCGGTTGTAATAGGGGGATGATGAGACGTTGTAAGATCAGTTACGGTGCAGCAATTAGATAACCTATGTGTAAAAGATTTAGTTGATTTTAAAGCATCGAAATGGAGATTTACAACCAATGAAACACAGAGAGGGATAAACGGTCTCAGCGAAGGCCTTTAGGGGGCCTTAATGGGATTGATTTAATTTTTTTTAATTGAAAATGTACATATATTCTTGATCATCATAAAATTCTATGTCGATGTCCGCCCGTCTGTCCATCTGTGGAAATCAGTCTAGCTTCCAAACGAAATGAAATAGATTGGTAAAATTTTACTCAAATGTATATCATGTCTAAAGGACTTTTGGTATTGAAAATGGGGCAAGTAGGTCCACGTCTTCGTATAGCCCCCATGTAACGGTACCTCCCGATATTCGGTTTTTTGATGATTTTAGCCACATTATTCACCGGAATTGTTTCAAACTTAGTATTTGAAGTTCGTAATGGGTTCTACAGCCTAAGACAGAAAATTGTCTGTGCAGGTCCACGCCCCCATATAACGGTAGCCCCCGTTGTTCGGTATTTTGATGATTTTAGCTATATTATTCACCGATTTTTTTAAGTTTCGCATTTGAATATTGTAATGGCTTATGTCAAAAGTTGCCTATGCAGGTCCATGTCGTCGTATAGACCCTAATATAACAGCTATATTCTGTATTTTTAAGATTTTAACAGAATTTTTAACGAATGTTATTGTTTTTAAGAATTGCCAAATTCCTTTCAAATGGTGGAGGGTATACCAAGTTCGGCACGGTGGAACTTACAGTTGTTTCACTGGTTATGTTATATTTGGGTCAATTAAAAAATATTTAAAAACTCAATTTTCAAGTGCCGTTTGGTCAATTAAATTTTTTTTAAAAAGTAATTTTGCCAAATGAATATTTCTTTCAAAATTCTTTTAAAATCGTTTGAAATATCCATCTTTGTGTACTATTTCAGACCAACATTTTTAGATTCCGAGATATTTGCGATCGTTTGAAGTTAAAGGGCACTAGTCAATTTTCAGTACAATTTCCCACTTATTGAAAAAAAAAATCCACGTTGTACGTCGTTTTAGAATTTATTAAAAATTCTTTAAAAAAAATCCACGTTTTAGGTCATTTTGGAATTTATAAAAAATTCTTTAAAAAATCCACGTTTTAGGTAATTTAACAATTAATTAAAATTTCTTTAAAAAAAATCCACGTTTTTAAAAAAATTCACGTTTAAGGTAATTTAAGAATTAATTAAAAATTCTCTAAAAAAATCCACGTTTTAGGTAATTTAAGAATTAATTAAAAATTCTCTAAAAAAATCCACGTTTTAGGTAATTTAAGAATTAATTAAAAATTCTTTAAAAAAAACCCACGTTTTAGGTAATTTTAGAATTAATTAAAAATTCTTTAAAAATCCTCGTTTTATGTCATTTTAGAATTAATTAAAAATTCTTTAAAAAATCCACGTTTTAGGTGCTCTTTGAATTGATTAAAAACTCGTTAAAAAATCCACGTTTTGGGCTACTTTGAAACTATTAAAAATTCTTCAAAAACCCCATGTTTTAGGTCCTCTTTGAATGTATTCTTTAAAAAAAGCCAAATTCATTTCACGCCTAAAAGTATGCTCTAAAATTTGTATGACTTGTCAATTAATCGATTGCTTTATATCAATAGATGGCGAAATGGATATCATGAATGTTAAAACGCAGACCCTTCCGAATCAATAGTGTCATATTATTAATTTAAAAAAAAAACAGACTTTTAGCTTGACCCACCTTAATGTTTTGTTAAGCAATATATTCTCTCACATAATAACACGTACAAGCATAGCACTTAGGGCATCACTTAACTGCTGTTGTTAAATGTAACTGCCGCTTCTGCTTAAATTGGGCGAGGTTTAGACCTTTACAGACAGCAGCAACATGACAACAAAAAATAAGCAAGCAAGGTGTATTCGAACATTAAACTTAACCCAGAAACAAAACAGGATTCTTCAAGGTTTATTTTCCATATAAAAGCAATTAACGAAAAACATAATTGTGGCAATAAAAAAAATCCTACAATTTTTATAAATTCTATGGAACAAACCAAAAAAAAAAAAAAAAAAAAATAAATAAAATAAAATAAATTTTCAAGTCTAAAGTTTTCACAACATCTTCCTCACATCAAACATTGATTAGAGCATTGATTAACAAATTTGTTTTTTTTTTATTTTCTTTAATTTCACTTTAAACTGATTCGTTTTTTGTTAAGGTGCTGGGAAAAGCAAAAATCACGCTCTCCCTAGCATTCATCTGTTAAATGGCTAAAAGCCAGCTTTAAATACAATAAGACTTAAATAACAACAGTATAGGTAGGGTTGTGATCTATCCGCTGCTCTCTCCTCCCCCTAAAAAAATACATTTTTGTTATGGCGAGAATAGAAAATTGTTTTGTTTGTGAAATGAAAATGAAAATTGAAAATGTGTAGTCAAGCGTAAAAATAATGCTATGGCATTGTCTAATATCGTTCGTCAAACTTGAGATCGATTGCATTTGATGAATCTTTTAAATGAAAGGGCGGTTGGGGGTTTCGCAAAAAGGTACATTTTAAGTAGATAACATTTTATATACAAAAAAATACCAGATTAAATGTAATTCTATTAAAAATGAACTGAGATGTTTAAAATAATTAAAATCGGAGGTTCCTTTATATAGGCTAGTAAAACTTGCTCCCAATAAGTTGGGGACCTGTTGTAAACTTAAAAAACCCCATATAACGACTAGATCGTTGGCAAATGCGATGAAAATGCACAAAATTCCTAGATCGTGTACTACTGTTTAATTAGAGTTATTTTAAATAATTCGAGGTTCAAAAGAAATGTAAAAATCTAAATATTATTTTTCGAATCAAACGTTTAAAATGACAAATATGATTTTCGAATTATAGTCAAAATATTTCGATTTAGTCTTCTTCAATTCCTCAATATAAACTCCGCATCTCACTTTCGTGTCTCCTGTGCAACTTTTTTTGATCGGATAATTCAATAAAAATTTCGTGACCATTTTCAAAACAATTTCAAATCATTACCATTGCCACAAACGCCTTTGAACGATAAGGTGTGGAATCCAAGAACCAAAGTTCTTTGTCACTCACATAAATGTGGTATTTTATTAAAAATATATATATTAATAATAGTTTTGAATTTCAAAACAACATACACCTCCCTCCTTGAGTCGCTTAGTGAGTGGAAGCAAATTTATAATAATAGCTTCCTTTATTAATCCCTTTTTCTTTTATTTTCCACAAAAATAAATTGGCAGGGCAGACATTCACTCCAGATATATATGTAAAAATAAGTATATATTCTGTTATTAAAAAAAATATATTATTTTTATAAACAAATGTGATAATCAACAATTGAATATCGTGCCCATAAAGAAAGGCGTATGTCAAGATAATCTTGATATCTTTCGATTCTGTGGCTGCACATATCGTGTGGTTTGCACACGCACTTTATAAATATATAAGGTACGTTTATTTACGTATAAAACATGGTATGTCTGACTTGTTGATCTTGAGGTTGGGACAGAACTAAATTCTAATGTCGAATATGATTTAAGAGACTTATATCATATTTCTATGAGACTCATATCACATTTTCTATGGAGATTCTCTTCTGCTTGTCTATATAGATACTCTTCAGGTCGTCTAAAACAGTCTCCTCTGAACGTCTATAGAGATTCCTTCCTGATCATCTATAGAGATTTTCTTCTGAACTTAGATAGAGATTCCCTCTTTGTCATCTATAGAAGCCCTCTTCTGGTCGTCTGTAGATATTTCTTTGGTCGTTTGTAGATACTTCGTTCCACTCGTCGACAGAGACCACAGATTCTCTTCAGGTCGTCTAAAAAAGTCTCCTCTGAACGTCTATAGAGATTCCTTCCTGATCATCTATAGAGATCTTCTTCTGAACTTATATAGAGACTCCTCCTAGTTGTCTATAGAAGCCCTCCTCTGGTCGTCTGTAGATATTTTCTTTGGTCGTTTATAGAGACTCCGTTCTACTCGTCCACAGCGACTATCTTGTGATCTTTTTGGAGACCCCTTTCTGGTCGTTGTTGAAACTTTAGTCTTGACTTCTATAGAGTCTCGAGGGACTCTCTATTGGTCGTCTATAGGTACTCTCTTCTGGTCGTCTGTGGAGACTTCTTTCTGATCGTCCCTGGATACTTCCTTCTGGTCTTCTGTGGAGATTTCCTTCTGGTCATCTCTGGAGACTTCCTACTTGGCGCCTATAGAGGCTCCCTTCTGGTCGTCCTACAGAAGAGGCTCCCTTCAGCTTGTCGATTGATACAACCCCCTTTTTGGAGACTCCTTTCTGGTCGTTTTTGGAATTTTAGTCTGGACTTCTATAGAGTCTCTAAGGACTCCCTATTGGTCGTCTATAGAGACTCTTTTCTGGTCGTCTGTGGAGACT